CGGTTAGACTCACATGTATAGAGGTGTGTGTGTGTATATATATATATATATATATATATATATATATATATATATATTATACATACACTCTAAAAAACGACTATAACCCAACTATTGGGTTGTTTTGACCCAGCGGTTGGGTTCAAAACAACCCAATAGCTGGGGTTGTCCCTTTTTAACCCAGCATTTTTTAGTGTAGGAATAAAACTGTTTGTAAGTGGGGTGTTTGTAAGAAGGGGAGAAAAACTCATTTTGAGAACACGCCCTTTAAAAATATGTATTATAACTGAAGATGCAGATAGATAAAGTACAATAAAAGGAACACTTAAAAGTGCATTTTGGAGGTTTTCTTTCCATTAATCTGAAACAACACATTATGGAAAGCCAAACAGTCCAAAATCTCAAAACTGACCAGTGCCTGAAAAAAATATTTTTGGCTGTAGTTTCTTGCAGTAATGCAATGGGCAAAACACTGCACTGGGGTAAATGCAATGTTTGTTTGGTTTTAAAAACTGAAATTGTCTGTAGTAATTGACGCATGTTTAGATGCTGTTTTTTTTTCTTTCTTTTTGAACCCAAGACATTTTTAATGCTGACATGACAAACTAAAATCCAAAACACTTCATATAAAGTCAAACTATTTAATGAACACAAACTCAGCAGTTATGGAACGCTTACACAATATTAACAATATCTGTCACACAATACAATGCAATTGACAACCGATGTTCAGCATATGATAAATGACACAGAAACATTGAACAGATGTGCTGGTGTGTTTCTTTGCTGGTTACAGCTTACAAAAGATTTAGCAAGATTTATTTGCTACACAGATTCAAACAGTCTGTCCATAGTATAAAAATGAAAGGCAATTGACCGTCGAGCCGTCAGTCAAAGACTGCACCGATTTTAATACCAAATACATTGTCAAAGTTTTATTGTGCAAATTCTAAATTCAATTTGCAATTACAGGGAATACACTACAAATCTACACCGTACAAAACAACATCTTCATACCACTGAGAAATACTTATCCTGAGACCTGGTACGCAAAGCGTCCTCTGATGATATGATAACTATGATTATGGACAGTTTGTGCTATTCAGCACTATATGCATCATGTGTGGATGAATGCAATAGTGCAAAAATACTCTTCATATGTATCATACTTTAAGAACATTTCCTTCTGAAAACAGTGGGGATTGAGTTGTGGCACAGGAATGTGAAACATAAACATGGAAGCATTTATCATTACAGCAATTATAGAACAATTAAGGAATCATGGTAAAACAACTGTCATGCATGAATCTCGTTCAACCTGTTAAGAACACGCCATTCATATTTCACTCCAAAAAAAAAAAAAAGTTTTAAGTTTTGCATTGCGACATTTTTATGACAAGTAAGCACATTTCTCCCAAATTCTCATTATTGTAATGCATCGGTATTTTTTTTAAGTTCTGTAATTTTCATTTGTTTTCATACCTATAACACTATTTTTGTACTACATTACAGCCTAAAACAGGGTACTGCAGCAAAGATAAAGAGTCACAAGTCACAAAGAAAAATTAGCTATACAATTTAATTTTGTAAAAATACCAAAAATACCAGTTGTACTGCCAAAAATAATGGCAGTACAACACATACTACCATAATACATAAATATTTTAATATTTAAATACATTACATCACTGTGTAAAGTTTGGAATAATTAAGATATTTTAATGTTTTCAAAACGAAGTCACCAAGGCTGCATTTATTTGATTAAAAATAGTAATATTGTGAAATATTATTATCATTTAAAATAACTGATTTATATTTTAATATCTTTTAAAATGTAATTTATGCCTTTGATGGACAGCTGAATTTTCAGCACCATTACTCCAGTCTTCAGTGTCACATGATCCTTCGTTACAATGATTTCTGAGGGATCATGTGATACTGTATGTGCTTAATCAGCATGAACAATGTAACGTTAATTATTTATTAACGGGTTGTATTTTTTTTGTTAGTTTTTTTTAGGTGAAATATAAGCCAGTTTTTTTTCCCCCTTTTTTTGAGATTCATGCTAATACATCGTAAACATTTTTGTATTCACAACTTCAGCATTAAAATGATTCTAAAATTGTGCATTTATATTTTTGCCATTTATGGAAAATATCAAATGAAATGTCAAAGGTGGGGTATGTATTTTTTAAAGAAACGCTTTAGAAAACTGACTCGGGCCGAGTACCAAAACAAACTTGTAGCCAATCAGCAGTAAGGGGCGTGTCTACTCATGACGTGGAGGAGAGAGAGAGATCAGTGCACAGGACGGACATTAGCCGAGTGACAGAAAGATAGAGATGGTGGATATAAAAAAAAAAAAAGAGGAAAATGTCTGCGGAACAAAAGAAGGCTTACAATAAGGCAAGAAGTAGGACCTGTGTAAATATCGGATCAGCTTTCCAGCGCTGGAGAGAACTCAAGGAGCGGAAGGCCTGCGATCGGACGCCGAGGTTGCTTTGTTTCTTCTCGATAGGTGAGTAACATTGGTTTTGCTTTGTTTCACAGAACTAATATATGCTGTTAAAACGCGTATATGCACATTAAAACACACACATTCGACCTGTATTACCATAGTAACACACATTGCTTTCACTTATTGATGACATCATACCCTCGGCCGGCTGGCACAGCAGATTCCGCCAATCGTTGCCTGGGTTGCGTACGTATGTGTGGGGCAGAGCTATCAAAATAGGGGCGAGACCCTTTTGGGGTAGGGGCGTGTTTGTTTTGGTGATTTGAAATATCAACACTGACTACAGTGTAAAACAAATTCCGTAAAATTTACGGTGAAAAAACGGCAGCTGTGGTTGCCAGAATTTTACCGTAAAAATACGGTAGCGACGTTTTAGGTTTTAACTTAAATTTACAGTTAAATACCGTAATTTCATTAACTGATATAATGTTAATATACCAACCTATTGAAGTACTGAAATCTGTTTTGTACCTTTGTAATACTCTGATAACCACCAAATGCAGGAGGTGATGAGAAAGTCACATGATGAACCAAAGCCCATCACAAGCAGCTTTTAGATAATAACATATATAGAAGGTGCACAGTGTCATTCACACAAACACTAAACACCATCATGGTGACACACATGAAACTGAAATAATGCAATAAACATTCATTTAACAACATTAGGTGTAACACACAACCCTAATATACAAAACTGATAAGAAAAAAACTAAGAAGAAACATAGTTATTTCAACAAAAAACATCAAATTTGAAATGTAACGCAGGGAATTCTTGTAATGTCAATTTACGGTTATTCACTGTAAATTATACGTTTTTTTTCGCTTCCAAAAACAGTATACTACCGTAACATTAATGTCCAATACATGTAATGTCCAATACAGTTTTATAGCACACCATATATAGTAGGGGAATTTACCGTTAACCATTTAACAAGTTTTTACTGTAGCATTTTTACAGTCTTTTACCGTTAAATTCACAGTCATTTTTTACAGTGTACCAGAAATCACTTACCCCACCTTTAAAGAAGGTCTGTCAATGTTTGGCATCAAACTTTCAGCAAAAAAATTAAGCAACTACTCTTAAAAACGAAATTGGATTGAACCGCAGCGAGAAGCAGGTAAAATGCGAGGAAAGCATTGAATGGACAAACCACGGTCTGCATGCGTGATGCAGAAATCAGCCGATAGCTGGCGCTGCTTGGCATATCTTACAGATATGGCGGTTTCCTCTTGTTTTTGGTGGCGACCGCAGTGGCGTTATGCAGTGACATTATGTTCCCTCAGTAGTGGTTTGCGTTTCCTCACTGAACTCTCTGCTGCCCCCTCTGACGGAGGCTGATCACTGCCAGCGTCCACTCCGTCACTCATCGCTCCTTCCTCTTCGGTCGACTCGTCTCCAGACACTCGCTCGCTCTCGTTGTCCAGGTCAGATGTGCCTTTCTCCTCCATGAGGATGTCCTCCACCTCTTCCTCTGACACTTCCTCTTTCAATATCACAACTGCATAGACACAAAGATGGAAATTATTCAGTATTCATTATATTACAGAATGTTCAATAACACCTCTTGAGTTTATTGACCAAGTAAAGTTGAACTGGACTGAGTTATTAATTAAACTACTCAAGTAAACTGTTATTAAAAAAAAAAAATATATATATATATATAACACGTCAACTTAAAATGAAAAATTATGTACCAAAACTTAATGTACTAAAATAGCTAAAATCAAAACTGAAATTAAAAAAAATTATCAAACTATAGACAAAAATGACAAAAAGACCAATTTTAACAAAAATGTAAATGAAAATGTAAAATATAACACTGAAACTGGGCATTAAATATTCAAAATATATTTGCATAAAATATAAGCAACAGTATTTCAATTAATTTCTGTGAATGAGTTCCTATTTAAAGTGTTAATAATACTTTATTAAAATAAAAAGTTGTATCTGTTCATATTTAATGCAGCTGAACTAATATGAACCAACAATGTACAGTTGTATTTTATTAATGAACATTATCATTAAATACCGTACCAAATGCATACAGCCTAATTGTTAGTTAATGCAATTTAGTAAATGTATTAATGTTACATAATTGTGATACCAAAAATAAGGTGCAATAAGCAGTGATACAAGTTTCAAATAACATTATGCTACATTGTAATATTTGAAGTCAAATTAAATCTAATTCAGATAATTAGTGCAGGGTAAATAATAAGTGTGTTTCTAATCTCACCTGTTTTGTCTTCTCTGTGCTTGGGTCTGGACGGCCAAATGCAGTCAGCGATCAAAACCAGCATCTAATTGAGATATATTTACCATTAGACTGAGTAATTATTTCAAACCCAGCAGCTGAAGTTCACTTTTGAAAGTTTGATCCACTACATGCGAGAACCACCCACCGGATCCTCAGTATCGACCAGTGTTACACAACTCGCCGTTGTATAATGTAGGAACTTCTTTTTCAAACTTTATTATATAATTCAAGTCATCATGTATCTGTACACTATGTGCGATCTGCTTCATAGAGCTCTCGCATCAGATGAAGTCAAGTGCACTTTGTTGGCTCCCTTTGGTAAATGGTCTTTTTAGATCTGTAGCACGGATGCTCCGTCCGCAGGAATATTTATGCATGAGATACTTTCATGCAAAGAGTAAAGCATTTCACTTTAGGCTTGGAGCATGAATAATACATTAACCCATCTAAACTGTGAAAATGATGTTTTTAAACTCACCAGGCCGAGCATCAGTCCCATAAAGAGCGTAATGATGGCAAAAATCACATAAGAGCCCCAGGAAGGGATACCGAGCGTATTCGTCAGGTACGTGTGGATTTGCTGTGTTGAATGGACAAAATAGGAATATATTTAATACAAAATGACCAGATCAAATTCAGACTTGACAGGTTTCACCCGAAAATGAAATTTTGCTGAAAATGTACTCACTCTCAGGCCATCCAAGATGTAGACAAGTTTGTTTCTTCATCAGATTTGGATAAATGTAGCATTACATCACTTGGATGCAATGGATCCTCTGCAGTGAATGGTTGCCGTCAGAATGAGTTCAAACAGCTGATAAAAACATCACAATAATCCACACCACTCCAGTCCATCAGTTAATGTCTTGAGAAGACAAAAGCTGAAACAAATCCATCATTAAGAAGTTTTGATCTTCAAACCGTTGCTAAAATAAGAGTCCATAATCCATAATAACACTTCTTCCAATGATAAAGTTCTGTTGTCTCGCATCAAAATCGAGCTGTTTTGGCTTGTAAACGGTGCTTGATCTGTGCAGATTTCTCTCCTGATTCACACCAGAACACTTTTTCACTGGAGGAAGCGTTATTATGGATTATGGAAAAATGTCTTGATGGATGTGTTTCAGCTTTTGTCTTCTCCAGATGTTAACTGATGGACTGGAGTGCTGTGGATTATTGTGATGTTTTTATCAGCTGTTTGGACTCTCATTCTGACGGCACCCATTCACTGCAGAGGATCCATTGCTGAGCAAGTGATGCAGTGCTACATTTCTCCAAATCTGTTACTTTTATACATCAAATCTTTAGCAAATTTTAATTTTTGGCTTTTTTAAAGACAATACCACAGATCAAACTGCAAAATATTTCTTACTCTGATACACACGGAAAGACGAAACAGATTAGCCATTCCTGACATTCTGTAAAAGAATAAAATGGTTTTAAGCAAGGAGTTATATACAAAATGTATTCAATTCGAACAACTTAATTTTATACAGTAAGCAAACACATCAGCCCTTCTTTTTTTCCAGACAGAAAAGGTTGTATTTACAGAAGAGAGGATGGCGACTTCCATCCTGGCACCGGCTCAACCATCGCCCACTTATTCTGCTCAACATACGCCTGGATATCCTCAATAGTCCGTGATGAAACATATTTGCGGAAATTTCCATCTTTAGCGCTGTGGATGAGATGAGTTGTTCAATATTATACTTGAAATTGATACATGCTATTTTTAATCAAAAAACAGAACCTAAAAGAACGTTTTGAAAGCCAGTTTTGTCATAACACCTGAGGGAATATACTGTATATTCAGCCATCTGAGGACTTACTGAAATATAGTCGGCAGTGTTGTAACCAGAAACCTCCCACTCAGACCTGTAGAACAAAAGAAGAGAGGATGGATATATTGATGCAGAAATACAGATAGAAGAGCGAGCACATCCTATACCGGCCAAAAAAATCCTTTCGGCATGGGAAGGCGGTGAATGGTCTATAGCAGCGCTGTAATAAGAGTAAAGCATGACAGCTTCCTGACAGTAACGGGCGTTTTCTCGCCGCCAGCTGAGACTTCCACAGAAACGCAGGCGAGAGGAGGCTGCAGGTGGAAGCACAAGACAACAGACTCCATTCACACCTGCATCATTAGCCGCTTAAATGCAATCTTTGCTTGCATTTAAAATACAATTAGCGTTCAAAGGGAATCATCTAAACGGGTCTGGATATAATAGTATTAATAATAAAGGCTTTCATCTGCTTGTGATGTCACTCAATGGCACACATCAAATACAGCTGATAATAACTGCAGGAGGACGTGTGAAAAGTCTAATTCCTTTTAAAGTCCCACAGTAGTTCATTCGAGCCACATGACTAAACTTAAAGAGCTCTGTGTGCAAACAATCCAGCAGTGTTTGATATAAATGCCAGACACACTGCTGTTGATCAGACCGGACGCAGACAAGGCGTTCATGCTGATGAGAGGATCATACACTCTTAAAAATAAAGGTGCTTCACGATGCCATAGAAGAACCTTTGTGTCTAAATAAAGAACCTTCAACATCTGAAGAACCTTTCTGTTTCACAAAAGCTTCTTTGTGGCGAAAGAAGGTTCTTCAGATTATAAAAAGGTAAGAAAGAGATGCTTCTTTAAAGAACCTTTGACTGAATGCTTCTTTGTGGAACCAAAAATGGTTCTTCTATGGCATCGCTTGAAGAACCTTGTGAAGCACCTTTATTTTTAAGAGTGTACGCACACAATTATTTGCAA